ACCGGGTCCCATAAAACGCCCAAAACCTTTATAAATTCCGAGTCGTCAGAGTTATCGAAACTTTTAAGAACTTCTAAGTGAGTAGAAGGTAAACCATCCAATAGTTCCGGAACATTGGAAGACCATTTCCGTAATTCATAACCAGCTGTATTCGTAAGTGCTATCAATTCATCGCGGATCCTCAACGTATCGGAGAATGTATCCGCACCGCCGTTAAGATCATCCACGTAACTGTTTTTTAATAATAAATTAGCCGCCGATGGATATTTATTTTTTCCGTGAGCGAGTTGGTGTAAACACCGAATAGCTACAAATGGACTAGACTTTAAACCGTACGTGTTAGTAGTCAATTCATAAATTTGTAGAGGTTCAGTAGGCGAAGATCGCCAGAAAATGAGTTGATATCTACGATCATCCGGGTGTATCCAAGTTTGACGAAACATCATCCGAACGTCAGCAATAAAAACTATAAGGGGCCATCGAAAATTTAATAAGATATCCGAAATATCCTTTTGCAACTTCTCTCCAGAATATAAACAATCATTTAAACACACACCCGTACTACTAGGAACGCTACCATCAAAAACTACACGAATTTTACTAACATTACCCGATTTTTTAAATACCCCATGATGTGCCAAAAAGTAATTTTCATCTTCCGAATTAAATTTTAAAACCGTCATGTGTCCTAAATTAATATACTCCTCCATAAATTCTATATATTTTAATTTAAACTCCGAGTCACGTTGCATTCTTTTTTCTATTGACAAAAATCTCTTTAAAGCGGTCTGCCTCGAGTCACCCAAACGCTGATGATCAGGTATGAGTGGCAAACGTACAATATATTTACCGTCTAAACCACGTGTAGTGCTAGAACAAAATAAACGTTCACATTCTATATTTTGAAAGAAAGAAAGAAAATATATTTATTGACCACATAGGTACATAACAATGGTTTAACTTATTACAAAGGTGGTGGTCAATCAGGACTCTGCCTCAGCATAAGCCATATCAGAGTAGCTTACCCTGATACGGCGCTGGTTATTCTGGCAGAGCCTGTACAAAAGGTTGGCGTTATAGATATATATACATAAATTATAGGTATAAACTAAATGAAAATCTTTATATAAATATATATATTTACTTATACCTACTAATAAACTAAAATAAATAGTAATTACTGATGTGTAAAAGAAATTGTAATGGTGCGAACATATTTAGTTTACCTTTCATTGGCTGTATTAGCCAATTCCTGTGACAGGACATAAAAAAATAAAAAATATAAAAATTTACTCTCTGGTTGAATACTCTATTTGTCTATGGTGGCGTCGCTTTTGCTTGTTTTGAATTGTTTAGAAGTAAAATTTGTAAATGCGAAACATAAATTTATGCACAAGCGTAAAGTAACTGGATTCAAAGGAGTCGCAGAATTATGAGTTCATTGAAAATTTAACTGTGATAGCGAAAGATGCTACGAGGAACCGATCTCCAAACCGCTCTAAAATGTTTATTGAAAAGCGTTGAATGTGATTAGCTCGATTAACAAACGGAATATAATTGTCGCATTATCAAATGTTTTTTAAGATGCGTCTTAAAATTCCTTAATGTTTTTAGGTTACGTAGTGGGGGCGGGAGATCGTTCCAACTTCGCGATGCTGCGAATCTAAAAGAACCACGAAAAGCCGCTGTGCGATGTTTAGGCGTAGAAAAAATATTAGTACACATTCTTCTCGGATATCTTTTGTGATCCTCAGCCCAAGTAAATTTTTCATATAAATAAGAAGGCTTTCCAGTTTTAATGATGCCAAATAATAGTGAAGCAAGATGATATTGCCGCCGCGCCTCCATTCTGAGCATTTTAGCATCATTCAAGAATGGCGTCACATGAGTTCTGGGTGGGATATGAAAACAGAAACGTGCGCAAGCATTTTGTACCCCTTGAACAAGCTTAGCTGTCTTCGCCATCAAACATGAACCGTATACAGTGTCACCATAATTTAACTTCGATAAAATCAAGGATTCACAAAGTGTAATTCTAAGTTGCCTGCTCAAGAAAGGTCTCACTTTATATAATAATTTAAGCCGATATAGACAATTCCGAACACAATCAGTTAAGTGACTTTAAAAAATTCAAATGACCGTCGAGAACCAGACCCAGATTTCTGCACTTATGCACACGCTCAATGAACTCTCCATTTAAGGTAAATATTAAAAGAAATATTGTTACATTTTATTATATTTTTTTTAGTTCCAATTAGCATGAATTTTTTGGGGTTAAGAGCAAGACAATTGGAGAGACACCATGTTTCAATCCTTGCCAGGTCCTCATTGATTTGTGACATTCCATTTTTATACTCATTTGGCGGGAAAGAGAGATATAACTGTAGGTCGTCTGCATATAAATGATACTTACAGTACTTGATGCAGTTTATTATGTCAGCACTATACAAAACATATAGGGCTAAGTATAGAACCTTGTGGAACGCCTCGAGTCACAGGGAGAGGAGCAGACTGCGATCTTGTCCCACTTGTACCGGTCAACTCTACTAACTGTTGCCTATTTGTCAGGTAACTCTGAAACCATTTCACTGTATTTCGGTCGGCTCCATAGTATGCTAACTTTGACAACAGCAAGGTACTATTTATCGTTTCAAAGGCACGTGTGAAATCAAGCAAAACAAGGATGCTGATATTACCCTGATCCTGAGCCGCCAAAATATTGTCTACTACATCAGACAAAACAGTAGATGTGCTATGAGCACGGCGAAAACCTGACTGGAGATGTGGGAGGATATCATTATCTTCTAGGTAACTTGTGAATTGATCACATACTACTCTCTCCAAAACCTTCGATAAGCATGGCAGAATACTGATTGAGCGGAGGTCGCTGAGCTCATTTGGTGGATTAATTTTTGGCAAAGGCTTGATAATAGCGGTCTTCCAGGAATGAGGGAAAACACTGTTCATGATAGACTTGTTTACAATGGCGGTGATAGCATCTAATGTGAAAGGTAAGGTCATTATAATCATAGATAGTGAAATTCCATCGCAACCCTGAGCATTTGATTTAAGTTTAGTGATAATTTGCATAATTTCATCACTAGTGACAGATGTTAGAGAAAATGTATTTGGCCCATATCGATTGTGTTCAAAGATGGTGAGTTGCGGTATTGTGACACTATTATTTCTGGAAATGAACAAAAAATGTGAATTTATAATTTTTGGATTATTGAACTGTGGAGACAGGTCAGATGAACTTTTATTATTTAATAGTGCCATGTTTTTTAAATTATTCCACAGCTTCTTAGGGTTATTTATATTGCAGTTAATATATTTGTTAAAGTAACATCTTTTCTCCCTGTCTATGGCCTCTACCACCAAATGCTTCATTTCCAAATAACTCTGTTTGAAAACATCTGTTTTATACTTTTTATATTTTTGATGATAATCATCCCTAATACGCATCATTGACCTAACAGTCTCTGTCACCCATGGGTGAGGAGGATGCTTAAACTTCCGAATGATGACTGGGGCATGGAGATCAAACAGCATCACCAAACAAGAAGTGAAACATTCAACTAGGGCATTGACACAATTCATACCATGGAATTCATTCCAATCAATGTGGCTTAGGTCACTGTTCAACAGTTCAGGAATGATACTGTTAAGCGGTCGGTACTGTATGCATAGAGGAGCAGGCTTTTCCCTTTTGATTTTGAATTCTGACAACAACATAGCATGAGCTCCGAGATCGGGACTGTACTTCACAACTACCCTTGAGACCCAACAGTCCGTGCAGATAATATCTATGAGACTCTGACTGTCATCGGTGAAATGTGTAGGTTCTGTGACTATTTGTTTCAGGGTCATTGTCTCCACAAATTGTATCAAGTTACGGGATTTGCTACTGGTTACATTTAGAAGGTCAATATTAAAATCGCCGAGCAGTATAATCCCATCACGGCTGCCTAGAGAAAGAATTGATTCTGAAATAGCATCTAAAAATAACACCACATCCATCAAAGGTGGACGTTAAGCAGTTCCAATTAATATTTCATAGTTATGCAGTCGCAGACACAATCACATCTGCTCCACCCCCGCAGTCTCAGTATGGGCGCATAGACTGACATTTAATCCCCACCGTATATAAAAACCTACTCCACCACCTCTACCCCTCCTTATGGAATCAGGCCTAGGAGTATGTCTCAAACGGTAGCCCATTAGTTTTGGTGCTTTTTTTATCCTGTCCAGCTCTCAACCAAGTCTCATTAATTGCTAAGATATCCGGGTCCAAATTCTCCACCGCCCTCAAAATCTCTTCGTGCCTTGTGCCTAGTGAGCCAGCATTAAACAATCCAACTCTTAGATGTTTTAAAATTGTCATTTTATATTAGAGTTATTAATAATTAAGTAAGAATATTCAGGCACACTAGACAGCCAAATGTACAGTTTTATTAAATATATAAGTTTGTATATAGAAAATATTTCCCTAGAGTTAAGTTTTTGTAATATAGTTTTAATATTAGTCATAGAAAATTTATGTTAGAAATTAAGCATATCCTTACATATATAAATACTATTACTGGATACTTAGAATAGGAGCAAATATAATAATTAAAGTAATATGACATATAAAGAAATAGTTTCATTGGCCCCACTCCAAGGTACAAGTTAGATGTATACAACCAACTTATAGTATAAATATTATTATAAAACAGGTTTTTTATGATCTTGATGTAAACTGATACAGTAATGGCAAACATTAATAAGATTAAACACAGATATAGAGAAAACAAGTTAATTACAAGAGAATACCAATTAGAAAAATTAAATAATTTTCTGAAAATTTTATAAAACTTACAGACTATGAAGAGTCATAGAGTTACTGTAGTTGAAGACTTGAAGGCCTCCACCAGTTCACACTCTGATCGGAATCGAAAAACCGGTTTTCCATCGGTTTGGCGAGCAAAAATACGACCCTCCTTCGTCCAGCAGTAGCGCTACCCCAACCTGCGACATTCCGCTCGGACCTGGTTGAACAACTGGCGGGTCCCGCGAGTGAGCCTCTCGTTCACATAAATTGTATGACCATTGGGTGCCCTGAGACTGCGTCGAACCCGGGCAGCGTTCAGCACTTGGTCACGTAAATGTCGACGCGATAGCCTCACCATAATACGTCGTGCCCTCCCCCCTTCAGCAGGGGGCGCGCCCACTCGCTCCGCATATACTACGTCCTTTTCATCAAGCGATACACCCAATCGCGCCGCCAGGGTGATAAAATTTTGCATGATATTTTCGCCTTTCTCTTCTGGCACTTGACCGATGTCCAGGTCTGCCAATAGACTCGCTCTGTTAGAACAGTATTATAAACCAAACAATTTAAATGTCCAACTTAGTGTTATAGGACGCCGATTGGAGGCGCCACCATACTTGTACAACTATTTTGGTTGCTTTATATATATCTCTCTTTCTGCGGTCGACATTTTGTTAAGCATCACTTCTGCATTTTTTGGTTACAATAAAACTATAATAATTAATTCAATCCTGTGTTTTTCTGCCTTAACCCTTCAGGTTATGGGCCCAGGATTAATGCTGAATAATAAGTGCGTAATATTTTTTTATTTTAACGAGTAAATTACAAAAATGAAAAAACAAAACGTGTCTCAGCCGCCGGTGCCGGCGTTATCGTCATCTGCAACTTCAAGTTCTGGAATATCTATTAACTTTGAAAAACTCAGTGGGATATCAAATTACGGAAATTGGAAGTTTTTGATGAGGATGTACTTAATACACGAAGACCTATGGGACTGCATCGTGGAGGCCAAGCCTGGTGTCCCCCAAGAAAATGATGACCGTAAGCAGCAACGGGCACTTGCAAAAATATGTTTGATGGTGCAGCCGTCATCGTTTTCACATGTACGAAATGCAACCACTGGTTTTGAAGCCTGGAACAATCTAAAAATGGCTTATGAAGATAGAGGGCTGTGTAGACGTCTGGGACTATTGCGTACTATGTTTGGATTGAAACTAGAACAATTTAATGACATGGAAGCGTATCTCTTAAAAATCTCCGACCTAGACCAACAATTACGAGACATAAACGCTCCGTTAGATGACGATTTCTTATCAGTATTAATATTAAGCGGTCTGCCTTCAGATTATGATCCTCTTATTATGGCATTAGAAAATTCGAACATTAAATTGTGCAGTGAAGTCGTAAAAAGTAAATTATTACAAGAAAAATTACGCAGAGAATCTGATATGAGCATGGAAAGTGCAATGTTGTCAAACCAATTTTCAAAAGTTACTAAACAATCTACTAAAGTGAAATGTTATTTATGCAAAAAACCTAATCATTATGCTAGAAACTGTCCTACCAAAACTGATAGACAGAGTGAGAAAAGTGAGAAAGCATGGAACGGAACATTATTAACTGCCTTAGCCGTGGATATTAATTGTAATGCATGGTATGTGGATTCCGGTGCAACTTGCCACATGACAAACAACAAAACATTGTTGCAAAATTATGTTGTAGACACTCCTCGATTAGTGACAGCGGCAAACAATCAAAAGATGTGTAGTGAGGGACACGGAGATGTGGAATTGTTGTTAGAGGGACATAAACAAACTACAAAAATTTGTGACGTTATTTATGTGCCGGGTTTGTCAACTAACCTTATTTCTGTTGGAAAAGTGGCAAGTAAAGGCCTTCAAGTGAACTTTGATACACAGAAATGTAATATTTATTGTGGAAAGGATATAGTTGCTAGTGCTACTAAGGTGAATAGTGTTTATCAACTGAACACAGCAAGTCAACCGTCAAGTAACAACAGTGAGCTAACTGCATCATGTCATTCAATGGATTTAGATGTTGCATTGACAGATATCCAGTGTGTGGATGATCAAAGAGCAGAAGCTGTCAACTTGTGTGAAGAGAAGCCATCGCAAGAGTTATGGCATCGCAGGCTTGGACACCTGAATAGGAGAAGTATGAATTTACTGAAACAAGGTATGGCTATGGGAATTAATTACTCTGACAATAGATTTACTCCCTGTGTAGCTTGTATTGAGGGAAAGCAATGTAGATTACCATTTCCAAAACAATCTTTTAGTAGATCTACTGAGAAACTAGGCCTTATTCATTCTGATTTATGTGGACCTATGTCAGTTGCTTCATTCAATGGCAGTAGATATTTATTAACATTTATAGATGATTACAGCAGAATGACATTTGGATATTTTATAAAAAGTAAAAATGAAGTATTGCCTAAATTCAGAATTTTTAAGAACTTAGTTGAAAATCAAACAAATTTAAAAATTAAAAGAATTAGAACCGACAATGGTTGTGAATATGTTAATAAACAGTTCCAGATTTTTCTGCAAGAACATGGCATCGAGCACCACACAACTGTGCCGTACTCACCCCAGCAAAACGGTGTGGCAGAACGGGCCAATCGGACAATTATGGAGGCTGGTAGATGCATGTTACAAGATGCTGGTATGGACCGGAGGTTCTGGGCAGAGGCTGTAAATACTGCAATATTCATTAAAAATAAGTCGCCAAGTAAGGCTATAAAGGGAACTACACCTGAAGAGATATGGTATGGTAACAAAGTTGATTTATCTTGTCTAAGAACATTTGGTTGCATTGCATATTCAATGATCCCTGATGAAAAACGTAAGAAATTAGATTCAAAGAGTAAAATGTATATTTTTGTGGGATATTGTAGCGATTCAAAAGGATATAGATTGATTGATCCAGAATTTCCTTCTAAGTGTATAAAATCAAGAAATGTTCGATTTTTAGAACACAAAATGTATAAAGATTTAAAATTAAAAAAAAATGGAGAAAATAGCAATACCAATTGCCGATTAGATCTCTCTAATAATGTAGTGTATGACATAAACAGTAATGAAAATAATAATGTCACCCCAATTTCAGTTGTAGAATTGTCAGACTCAATTGCTTCTAGTGGAGGCTATGTCGATGACCCTAATGATGTCACTTGGAATCCTGAAATGACTATGGATGAAACATTAAGTGAATATGAAGAAACTGAAGGGACTTCGGTAGCTATGACAGTTGCATGTCACGGTGTTGAACCACAGACAATATACGAAGCACTGTCAGGATCCGATAAGGAACATTGGATGAAGACTATTACAGAGGAATATGAGTCCTTTGAGAAGAATAAAGCTTGGCACTTGACTATATTGCCTGAAGGTAAAAAGGCTGTGAAATCCAAATGGGTTTTTAAGAAGAAGCTGGGATCTGAAGGACAGTTACTTCGTTACAAAGCTCGACTTGTAGCCAAAGGATTTACCCAAAAATATGGCATTGATTACAAGGAAACATACTCACCTGTGGTAAGGTATTCCACAATACGTACCTTATTAGCCCTGGCTATCAATTTGGATATGTATGTTGACCACATGGATGTCAAGACAGCATTCCTGAATGGGGACTTGAAGGAGACTGTCTATATGGAACAGCCTGATGGGTATAAAATACAAGGAAAGGAAAAGTTTGTATTTAAATTAAATAAAGCAATATATGGACTCAAACAGGCATCGAAGGCCTGGTATGACAAAATTGATCAAGCCCTGTCAGACCTCCAGTTTAAAAGGTCAGTATGTGAGCCTTGTGTTTATATAAAATATGACAAAACTGACAATCTCATAATATTAGCACTGTATGTCGATGATATTTTATTGTTTAGCAAAGATACACAAGAGAAGCAAAGGTTGAAGGAACAATTAATGACAATATTTGAAATGAAAGACCTTGGCCGAGCTACACACATATTGGGCATGCGTTTGAGTCAAGAAAGTAATAAAATTACTCTCGATCAGAGAAATTACATACAGAAAGTATTGGAACAATTTAACATGGCTGATTGCAAACCTGTGAATACACCCCTAGAGAATGGAATGAAGTTCGAAAAGGGTGATAAAACTAATTCAGATTCTAAATATAGAAGTCTTATTGAATGCATCATGTATATAGCAGTATGCACAAGACCTGATATTGCACATGCAGCAAGTTTATTGAGTCAATTCAATAACTGTCACTCAGACACTCATTGGAAAGCAGCAAAACGAGTTCTTCGATATTTAAAGAAAACAATACATTATTGTATAGTGTATGAAAAATCCACATTATCTGTTACAGGATATATAGATGCTGATTGGGCGTCAAATCATATAGACAGACGCTCTTATACGGGTTATGTATTCAAAATAGGGAACTCTGCAATATCATGGGAAAGCCGTAAACAAAAGACGGTGGCTCTGTCCAGCATGGAGGCGGAATACATGGCATTATGTGAAGGCGCCAAAGAAGCAGTATTCATAAGAAATTTTCTAAATGAATGTTTAGGTAAATACTTGTCTGTAACTCTGTATAACGATAATCAATCTGCACAAAAGAATTGTAATAGCGAAATTAATCATAGCCGAAGTAAACATATAGATATAAGACATCATTATGTGAGACAAATTGTTAAAAATAAAATTGTTAAGTTAGAATATTTATCAACTGAATGTATGCCTGCTGATATCTTGACTAAACCCTTAGGTAAAGAAAAACATTATAACTGTATTTCTCATCTTGGTTTAGAAATTGTTTAGTTTAAGGGCAAGTGTTAGAACAGTATTATAAACCAAACAATTTAAATGTCCAACTTAGTGTTATAGGACGCCGATTGGAGGCGCCACCATACTTGTACAACTATTTTGGTTGCTTTATATATATCTCTCTTTCTGCGGTCGACATTTTGTTAAGCATCACTTCTGCATTTTTTGGTTACAATAAAACTATAATAATTAATTCAATCCTGTATTTTTCTGCCTTAACCCTTCACGCTCGATCTCTTTCGCTGAGCTCAGACTTCAACGATTCAATAACGCGTTCCATTTCAGGAACGCGGCCCGAGTCGGTCTTCGACTCGAGCGCTTCGATTCTATGCGTCAAATCGTCCAACCTACGGTCAGTACCATCTAGCCGAGCTGTTATCGAAGTGATGGACTCCCGCAGCCGCACCATTTCCCCCCGAAACTTCCGCATTTCATCCGTTCACTCCGCAAGAGCACGCCTCCAGTCCAGCATGTCATTTTCGTCTGGAGCCCGCGATGATTGGCACACTGAAAGTACATCAGCAACAGGGGCCACCTTTGCAGGCGATAAATCGTCATCCGATTGATCAATGACTCCCTTCACCGGTGTATTATCACTCTTCCGAGTAGTATTCGGACAGTTCGGGCAAGTCCAGTTTTTACTTAATTTAGC